CCCTACATACCACCACCTCACCCCTACATACCACCACCTCACCCCTACATACCCACCACCTCACCCCTACATACCACCACCTCACCCCTACATACTCACCACCCCACCCTACATACCACCACCCCACCCCTACATACCACCACCCCACCCTACATACCACCACCCCACCCCTACATACCCATCACCTCACCCTACATACTCACCACCCCACCCTACATACCCATCACCCCACCCTACATACTTCATGTGTGTCATTGGCCAGTTAGTAGTTGTTTATATTTGTGGATCTGGAGGGAGCATCCCTTGACTGAAATACTGGACTCTTAAAGGTACCACTGAATAATTTACCAATACTACTGCCCCAGAATTGTCCCATGGGCCTCTTCTCGGTCCACCCCTATTCCACTCCAGCCTCAGAGGCGATCGGGACTGAGCTTTTTCACCACAGATTGATCTCTTCTCAGACTTTATGAGACCTGAATGAGAAAGTCTATACTCAAGATGGTGTAAGCCGGGGATGGGGCTGTAGTGCCATGGCAGAGTGCTCGATCAACATGTTTGAGCTCAGAATTCCATCCCCAGAGATAAGGAAACAGTGAGGGAGATGAATTTTCTTTCTCTCAGCATAGCATTTTATCTATGAGATTTATCTGTGTTGTGCATGCAACAAGTTCTTTGTCATTCGTTCACTCATTCATTCATTCATTCATTCATGTGCCCGGCATGTAACCCAGAGCCTTGTGACATTAGGTACCTCATCACTGAGACACCCCATCCCTTTTTAAGTTTGAGTTACCTGTACCAACAGTTTATCCATTCTCCACAAACACCTACACTATTTCTAGTTGCAGACTTTTGTAAATAAAATTCTTGTAAACATTCTGTCCAAATCATTGATTTTTTTTTCCAAAATCACAATCTTTAACTGGGGGGGGGGGGATAAGTAGCAAGGGTTGGGCATGTAGCAAGGAGGGGCTTAGGTCAGATGTGTGTATCTTCCAGGAAACTGTTGGATGTTTTTCCAAGGTGGCTATGCCATTTATTTGTTTGCTGTATATATGCATGTGCGAATGCATGTTTGCATGGGCATGGGCATGTATGTGTTCAGGTGCATGTGCACACATGCACTGGTAAGAGAAGAGTGGAGGCCAGAGATTAATGTCTTGTATTTTGCTCGACTGCTCTCCAACTTATTCACTGAAGTAGGATTCCTAGTTGAACCCAGAACTCACCAGTTTTGCTGGTCTGTTGAGCCAGCTTGCCCCAGGATGTTCCATCCCCACCTCTCAGGTTGTGGGATTACAGGCTGGCCGCCCTATGTGCCAGCCTGCGTTTATGTGGGCGCTAGAGAGCTGTGCCCACCTCCTCATTGCCTACACGATGGCAAGTGCATCACCCCCGAGCCATCTCCCTAGCCACCTGTGCTGCCACAACCTGGGGCGTCCCAGGAGTTCCCTCCTTTGCCAACATTTGCTGGAATCGGACTTGGATTTAGCCCTCTAGGTAGGTGTGTAGTCACCAACGACTGTGGCCCTCTTTTCTCTGGTGCCTAAAGACGGTGTGTTTGTTGGCTGTGTCTGTCTTCCTTAACAAAGTGTCTGTTCAGTTCACATGCCTGTATTTTATCTGGTAATCTATATCTCTTGTTAATTTGTAGGTGTAGCTAGAGTTTTCCTGCCTTGTCCACAGTCAGGACAAATCTTTTTCACCCGCCAATCCCACAGCCGCTCAGACCCAACCAAGTAAACACAGAGACTTATATTGTTTACAAACTGTATGGCTGTGGCAGGCTTCTTGCTAACTGTTCTTATAGCTTAAATTAATCCATTTCCATAAATCTATACCTTGCCACATGGCTGGTGGTTTACCGGTGTCTTCACATACTGCTGGTCATGGCAGCGGCTGGCAGTGTCCCTCCGCCTCAGCCTTCTGCTTCCCAGAATTCTCCTCTCTCCTTGTCCCACCTACTTCCTGCCTGACCACTGGCCAATCAGTGTTTTATTTATTGACCAATCAGAGTAACAGATTTGACATACAGACCATCCCACAGCATGTAGGAATTTACATATTCTCAATATCCATCCTTTGTCAGATGTTCTACAAATGTTTCATCCCAATGTAT